ACAGAAAAGGAACACAAGCAGGGGGAGTGGGAGAGGGAGAAGCAGGCTTTCCGCCGAGCAGGGAGCCAGATGCGGGGCTCGGTCCCAGGACCCTGAGATCATGACCTGAGCTGAAGGCAGACGCTTAACGATTGAGCCACCCAGACGCAGCCCCCCCCAAAAAATTTTTTTTAAATGTCAAGGTCCTGTCCTATGGCTCAGAAAATAGGGGAAAAAATTATATTCATCTTTGTATCAGCACTGTCCAGCCCAGGAGCTGGCCAACTGTACTGCCTGTTTTATTTGTTTTGTTTTTAAGATTTTATTTATTTGAGAGAGAAAGAGCAGGAGCTGGGGCAGGGGTAAGGGGAGAGGACTCGCAGACTCCCAGCTGAGCGGGAAGCCTGATGCTGGGCTCCATCCCAGAACCCTGAGATCATGATCTGAGCCAAAGTCAGATGCTTAACTGAGCCACGCGGATGCTCCTGCACTGCCCGTTTTTTTATAAATAAAGTTTTATTGGAACACAGCCATGGTCTTTCATTTACATATTATGCAAGGCTGCTTTCATGCTACTATGGCAGAGTTCGGTAGTTGTGACAGGGACCACATGGCCTGCCAGCTTAAGATATTTACTATCTTGCCATTTAAGATCAAGCTTGCCAACCCCTGGTCTAGCGTCCTATCTAGAATATAGTAGGTTCTTCTTAAATAATTACGGAAGAAAGGGGAAAGAAGTTAAGGATTTGCTCATAAAGAGGAAGGGCAGAGAGCCTTAGATACTGACGAACACTGAATGGTCCATACACCAAAAATATTGAATACTTAAATATGTTTTACTAACTTGCTGACTTACAAAGTTTATGATGGCTTAGTGACATTTAAGAGCTGTTGATTTAGATTTTGTTTAGAGGAAAAACATCAGATTATCAGATGCTGTGTTTGCTGAGGAGGAGTAATTGGCAGTACAGCAGTCTCCTGTTTGTCTTTTCGTTTTTGGGGGTTCATTTAGTAAAGATTTCCAGATAATTCTCTTAATGCAGGATATTAAGCAAGAAGTTGTGGAGAATACAAACATGTATTGATTCATTCATCTATTCATCCAGCGTTTACTGAGCATCTCCTATGTGCTAGACACACACTTGACTAGACAGACTTTGGCTTTAAGGAGCGTTTTGGAGAAACGCGTGTATTAAGGATTGAAAATATTAAGAAAACGCCCAGGATTACTCAGCTACTCAGTAGCAGACTACTAAGTAGCAGAGTTAGTATTTGAACTCTGATCAGACTCCTTAAACATGGGAGAAACCATTTCTCCCATGCTGTTCTTTCTCACAGAGGAAATACTCAAAATGGGAAATGAGTATTTCATTTCAGGTAGAGGGGCCGGTGCGTGTAGAGGTAGAAACCCCAGCTGTGACACGGTGTGTTCAAGGAAGCCTTGCTTTTTTGTTTTGTTTGTTCTTGTATCACATATAGGATCTTTGAGAAGAGATGGAGAGTCCTACTAAGGAGTTTGGACTTTATTTAGTAGAAAATACAGAATCACTGAAGAGATTTTAAGCAGGGAATTTACATAAAATGTTGCATTTTAGAATAATTCTGGGGACAGCATGAGCAAGGAAGTCAATTAGAAGGATACTACAAATAATCTAAGCAAAACCTCCCTGTAGGTCATAGTTTGCCTACGTACAGTCAGAGGAGAACTTCAGACCAAACCTCTGGGGTATATCAGCATTTAAGAGCTAAAGACAGACAAGCTCATGAACACCATGAAGGGGTGGTTGACCATCAAGGAAGGCAGCGGTTTTAGGGAAGGCGTAGTGAACTATGTCAAGAGGAGAGAGAGACTGTGGGTGGAGGCTGTCAGGCCACTGGTGACTTGAGCCAGGGAAGTCTCACTGGTGGGTTGAGGGCCAAAGCTAGATTGGAATGGATTGAGAAGGGAACAGGAAATGAAGTGAAAACACTGAATGCAGATTGCTCTTTTCAGTAATTTGACTACGAGAGGGAAGGACAGAAAAAGCAGTAGTGGGAAGTCGGCAGAGGAGGGTTTAGGAAATGGGCAGATAGGCACGAGGAAGAGGTTGAGGACCCACGGAAAGAGGTCCTCGGAGGAGTGGAAAGAGCAGCTATGGGGAGGAAGCACACAGGCGGTGGGTTGTTGCTCCTGTGTGTCCAGCACCTGGCAGGATACCCGGCTGATGACATCTGTCCTAGGTGTTGGAAGGAATGGTCAGAGTTTGGATCGCAGAGATGAGGAAAGGGGACACTGGTTGGATGGGAATAAAGGCAAGAGAGAAGAAGTCTTGAGGAGATCCTGGGGGGGTTTGTAATCATCACTGTGAGGAGCGAGAGGGAGACCGGGCCAAGTCAGAGGCCAAGACAGGCTTGAAGACCCACGGACTTCTAGGAGCGGGGCCTCTGTAGCAATAAAGGCTGCAATAAAGGACTTACTTCAGTAGAAATAAGTAGTAAGCGATTCAAAGCTGAGAGGAGAGAGAAGGCCCTTCAGGTTAATGTGATTTAGAATTAGCGCTTGAACTGGGGAGTGTCTGGATAAGAGTCAGGATTCAGAAAGGGCTGGGAGAAGGAGGGCCTTCAGGGAAGAGCGGGAGCCAGAATCTTAGTGGGGTGATGTCCTTTATCTGTCCTGACATCCAGCTGACTGCTGTTCTTGCCACTACTTTGCAGTTCAAGGGGTCACTTTGTAAGTTGTTGTTTTGGTTTGTTTTAAGATTTTATTTATTTATTTGACACAGAGAGAGAGAGAACACAAGTAGGAAGAGTGGGAGAGGGACAAGCAGGCTCCCCGCTGAGCAGGGAGCCCGATGTGGGACCCAGTCCCAGGACCCCGGGATCATGACCTGAGCTGGAGGCAGATGCTTAACCACTGAGTCACCCAGACGCCCCGTTTGTAAGTTTTAACATTCTATTGTTTCTTCCATTATAGGATTTACGACCAGAGGAAAATTGATGAGAACGAGAACAATGGAGTGCTCAAGAAATTCTGTCCTCATCACCTGGTAAGATTCATGAGGGGCCAGTGGTTCCCAGCTTTCCTGACTCAACTCCAAGGCTGCCCCCCAAAATGTTGGCCTGGTGGGAGGAGCTTGGACTTTCGAGTCCGTTCCCTGGATTTGAATCCCGGCTCCACCACTTACCAGCTTTGTGCTCTTGGGCAGTCACTTCACCTCCGTTGGCCTAGGTTTTCTTATTGACAGAGTGTAGAGAGGTAAAGATCATTGCCTTGCCCCGTGATGGTGAGGCCCAAGGAGATGAGAGTGTGTGTCACGTGGCTAGCACGCGGAAAAGCACCAGCAGAAAGCCCTCTCCCCTGAGCTGGCCACATCGCACTGGTTGTATTCCTGTCTCTGTCTCTCTCTCTCTCACCCTCTGGGAGAAGATAGTGGGGAGTGTGAAGGAGAACCTGTTTCCTGAAGGTGGTGTAACAGGTGGGGGGGTGGGGCATCAGTCGGTATCTGCTCCTTATTGCAGGTGAACAGTGAGTCCAAAGCAAACATCACCTGTCTCGTGTACAGCCACGACGGCACAGGTACGTGCGCAGGGCCCAGCTGCTAGGCTGGCACGCCCCCTCCGTCTGGGGAGCTGCTGAGCCCGCGAGGCACGCGCCTCCAGTGCTCACCGCTGTGCTCCAGCTCCAAGCGGAGCGGCTGGGGAGTAGCTGCTGACGGTGAGCACAGAGCGGGAGGACGCAGCAGAGGACCCTGGAGATGCCAGGCGCCACTTGCAGAATGCTGCCGATGAGATTTGGCAGGGCCTGCCCTGAAGCCCAGGCTCCGTGCCTGAGCAGGTGCTTATGCGTCTGGCTCGCTCTTGAGTTAATGGGTGTGATCTTCCTGAGCATTCTGCTACCCCTGGGTTGGCAGTGTGTTCTTAGTCTACCCTGGACGCCCGATCTGCCTGCAGCTCCAGCTGAGTGAGATGGGTGCTCTACCTGGGTATTCGGAGGGGGCACCACTGGCAAGAAGCTGCACCCCAGCCCCCAGCTCCTGGTCCTGGCTCTTTTTCAGCCTTTGCCTTCACTGCTGTGTGCTTGTTCTTGGCAGAGCTCCTGGCCAGCTACAATGACGAAGACATTTACCTCTTCAACTCCTCTCACAGCGATGGGGCCCAGTATGTGAAGCGATATAAGGGCCACAGGAATAATGCCACAGGTGAGCCGGTCTTTCTCGTTGCTGTCTGTTGGCCTGGGGAACGGCAGCATTTCATTCAGGCTGTACAGATCAGAACGACCTAAAGGACAGGGCAGCCTGTCGGAGCAGTGAGAGGATGTCCCTCCTTGGGCTGGAGCTTTCACAGGCCTGCTGTGCTCGAGCGCAGGGCGCCTGGAGCCTCTCTCACCGCAGCGATGTGACCTCATTTGGGCATAAGGAGACTTGAGTGACTGTGTTTTTCTTAAGATTTCGGGTAACTTCAGGCTTAGCGGGCTTGTTAGGGAATCTGGGAAAGCCCTCCTCAGTCTGGGGTACTGAATTGCCTGAAATCGGGGCGGGGGGGCGGGAAGTGAGCTGCTAGCTCTAGGGCAGAGGAGGCAAGTTCTTTTGAATGAGGCAGAGGAGGAGGCGTGGTGTGAGCGCCTCCTGCCCAGTCTGCGGCGAAGACTGGCCGTGTGTGTTCTGGGTGTGGTTCCTGCGCTTGGCTGCACCGCGGAGTCACCTGCCGATCTTTAAAGCCTGGCTTCTACCCCCAGACATTCTGATTTAATTGGGATGGGGTACAGCTTGATAGAGGTCTTTTAAAAGCTCCCTGTGTGACTCTAATGTACAGAAAAGTTGGGGTGGCCACTGCTCTTTGTTGTCGACACCGCTCCTAACAGGTATCTGTCATAATTTTGACTTGGAGAGAGCAGTGACTTGCCCTTTCTCTTCTGAGCTGGTGAGGTGAGCAGGAGAACCGGTGCTTGGAACTTAGTCCACAGGCGGACAGAAACTGAGTGCAGTCCCATGACGGCCGTGGAACTGCACAGTCTCTGGGACACCCAGCTTCTCTTAGTAATTCCAGGGAGCAGAGCCGTGTCGTTCAGTCTTGGTAGCAAGCACGGTTCAGATGCTTCTGACAGGCAGTTGTGGCCTAGACCTCCCTCATTCTCAGGCCAGCTGACTGATGGCCCAGGAAGCAGACAAGGTGGTACTAAGGGAGTACACCTAGGGTGATCCTCGGGCGTAGGAGAGGGCTGCCTAGGAGTGGGCAGGGCTGGGGTGGTTCAGGCTGGGACTAGTAAGGCATCACTGAGGCCGGAAGTGCTCCACAGTTCTCGGTGCTCCATAGGGCGGAGACCAGTGAGACTGAGGCTGCTGCTGAGGGACTACAGCCCCTCGGCCCCATGGAGCTCTTTGGGGGCCTAGAAACAGTCTCTGGGACTGACATGATTCTTGGTCTGTCTGTTATATACACACAGTCCCTTGATTTGTTTTGTGGAAATGAAAGGAATTCTTTGGCTCTTAGCTGACTTAGAGTTTGTGAATAACTAAAGTCCCTATGAGGTAAATATATACAGGCCTGATGCCAACTCTCATGTGGTCTCTTCCCTCATTTATCATTTCAGTGAAAGGCGTCAATTTCTATGGCCCCAAGAGTGAGTTTGTGGTGAGCGGCAGTGACTGCGGGCACATCTTCCTCTGGGAGAAGGCATCCTGCCAGATCGTTCAGTTCATGGAGGGGGACAAGGGGGGCGTGGTGAGTATGCTGCGCTCAGCTGGCTGGCTCGCTGCTCTCTCGCCAGTAAGGTAGGTGCGAGCAGGGCCACACAGTTCTCGCACCAGGGCAGCATGGTGCCGCATCGCTGGGGTCTAGCCAGGACAGTAACGGCGGTAGAGTCTGGGGCTGCTGACGTTTGGGTGGAATCCTAGCTTCCTTTTTCTGTCTTCTCCCTCTCTAAGGCATGGTTTAGTGAGGAGAGAAAGGGATCTTAGGGAAAAACCTCTGGCCTGAATGAGGGATTTCTAGGCAGGCACCTTTTCTAAAAGAAAAGCATTGGAGTTGAGGGCGCTCCACCCTGCAGTGTGCCAGAGGGGCCTCCGCTCCGTGCCTTGCGCCTCATCCCGTAGGGTAGCCAAGTAGTGATCTTGTAGAGATCCTGGGTCAGCGGATACAAGCTAGAAGGAGCTAATAGGGACAGAGCAAACGTGGCAAAATATTTTAATTTTTTAAAATTTTTATTTATTTTTTTAAAATAATGACTGAGCAGCCTGCTATGCAGGCTGTGATCCTATCACAGACCGCCTGTCCTTTGAATTCTAGACCGCCTGCACAGAGGCAGGGCCAAAAAGAAGCCTGAGGATCCTGAGTTGGGGAGTGAAGCGTGGTCAGCTTCTACAGTGCATCTAGCTAACCATATATTTTTTTCTTTTTTGAGACCCAGAGTTAGGAAGGGAGTTGAGTGGCTTCCTACTGTAAGGTTTTTGGACCACAGAAGATCTGAAAGAGGCAGTGTGGGAGACTGCCTTGTACCGATTTCCTTAGGCAGTCTGGTGAAGGGCCCCTAGGGAGTGGCTGAGACAGCTTGGTTTCTCTTCAGTTCCATTCCTTCTAAGCTTTGGGGGGTGCAGAGAGTCCAGCCATCTCTTCATGAGGCTCATCCTGAGAGTGCTGGTGGAATTTAAAATGGTTCCCTGCAATCAGGCTCCCTTTCCTTGTGTGTTTCTTGTCCTAGTGTGAAGTTACTTCAGACTGTTTTCTGGTTTTGTCTAAATTTTTGGGACTTGGGGCCAGTACAGATCCGAGGCTTCTGCGGCCTGAACGAGAGGGGTCCCGAGCCTGAAGGTGTTATCTCCCTGTTCCCTGCTTCGTGTCCTACTCTCCCATAGGTCCTCTTCTGTCATCTGCAGGGAACAAACTAAAACACTGGAGTCTCCATGAGAATTCTGCAGTAGGCGTATAGTCAAAAGGAAGTCAGAAGGGGCCAGTGAATCCTTTCTAGATCATAAACTGTCTTGCGTTCTGTTCCAGAGAGACGCAGGGCTGAATGCCCTCCCCCAGGCCAGCACTTGTCCATTCTCCCAGACCACTCTGCAGGCCAGTTTGCTTTCACCTCAGCCAGAATCAGAGTCTGGTGATGCATCTAGGTGCTCAGGTGGGGAGGGCACCTGCTTGAGATGGGTGGGCCCCAAGCCTGGATTGAGTGGTCACAAGAGTGAGAGACTAGAACAAGAGATAGAGAGACTGTACCCTGAAACAAGGTTCCCGGCTTGTGCTTGCCCCTGTGTGAGCTTGATGATCTGTGTGTCCCCACTTGACCCCTCTGTTGTTTGGTCCTAACTTCCCTGCAGTGGGTCAACCAGGCACCAGCCGCAAGAGCAGATTCAGAGCAGCTCATCATAAAGTAGAATATATTAGAACCAGAAGGCATCTTAGAAATTCTCATCTGCCTTGCCTAGGTCTCTCAACTCTGGTTTTGGCTCAGACTCTAGTCCTTTCTTTGTTCCCATTCAGGGACAGGGGTGGGGGATGACATCAGAGGACAGTCCTTAGTCTCCCAGAGCACTTCGCTGCCCCTCCTATCCCTGCGTCCCCCAGGCCAGTCCTCTTAAGGCTTGAGCTCTTGGCTCTGCTCACGCTTGTTACTGACGGGGTAAGTCCTGGCGTTCAGACCTGGCCCAGAAGCTCTCTGTCGGCTCCCCCGGCGGGCTCCAACCCAGGTACTGTGTGCTACTGACTCTTAACTCCTCTTTCCCTTGGCTTTGCCCTTAGTCTTAAGTCCCAAGGAATTTCTCCTCTGTGCTTTCTGATTTTACTGACATGCTCAAGCAGAGCTAGGTCAGAATAGAGGGGTTAGCAAAGGCTTACCAGGAGGTGGATGAATGAGTTCAGGTTTGTATGTGTAAGTTGTCACGTATCTTTTGATCATATTCTCAGGCAGTGGAGTCCCTGTCTAGTGCCTACTCCTGCTGCAGATGCCGGAAACTTCCACACTGCCTAAGAGAGCCCCAGTGTAAACTTTGCGATGAGCTGACATGGGGAGTGAGAAAAGGAGAAGAGAAATGGGATTTCTGCTTTATTCTTAGGCTCAGGCTTTAGCTTCAGTCTTTTCTGGAGCATTTTTATTTACTTATAAAATGGAAGAACAAAGAAGATTGGAAGTCTGTGGGTCAGTTTTATTTTCCATGCTGCCCCCAGTTTCCCCTCAGCTGCTCCCTCTGCGCGTGCAGGCCAGGCAGAAGAGCCTGGTCCAGAGAGAAGTAAAAGATAAAAGAGACTTTTTGCCAGGGGTTGTTTTTTTGGCCTACAGGGCAGCTGCAAGGCGGGATGGGATGGGATGGGGGGGCGGGTGAGGAGCGGCTAGGACCACACCCTCTTCCTTCCGGGTGCTTTTCCTATCTATTCCTCATCTGACTGAAAGCCCGAAAATGCTTTATTAGCAGCTAGATCTGGGACCAGCTCTTCAGTGGCCGTGGGAGCTGCCTGCCCTGCCCTGCCCCTGCCCTGCCCCTGCCCTACCCTGCCCTGCCCTACCATTTGGAAGGCTGATGTTTCCAAGTCAGACAGCAGGGGGCATGGGTGCCTCCAGACAGAAGGAAGCTGCCTAAGCCAGAAGGCCTGCCTGTCTGCGGGAGAACCTTTCTCCTGCTCAGTGACTATACCCAGAGGTGGCTGATACGGACACCGTGGGTGCCCGCGGAAGCTATCGCCCTACACTGTGCCACCCTTTAGCTGAGCCTGTTGGGCTTTCGGGGCAGACAGCAGGGTGCTGTACCCTGGGGCGCGCAGGGTTCACAAGCATACCTGAGCCTCCGCTACCTGCTCACTCCCCAGCTCCGCCTCTTCCCAGCCTGTGCCTCCCTCCAGTTTGACTCCACAGCGCCAAGGGAATGTAATTGTCCCTGGACTCTTTTCTGGGGGTTCTGCAGCAGCTGTTGCTTTCTTCAGTTTTAAAAATTTATTTGCCATTTGGTGAAAGCCACGGAGAGGTTTTTGTTTTGTTTTGTTTTGTTTTTTTTTCCCCAGCCTTGGGCAAGTTGGAGCTGTGGAATCCGGAGTGGATGAGGTCATCCGGACCTCACTGCCTTTTTGTGAAGCCAGCAGTAAGCTTGGCCAGTCACCCGCCCACCCCTAGGGCTGTGTCTAGGGTGAGGCCACCCCTACCTATACTTAGGAAATGAGAGATGGGCCTGGTCTTATACCCAGTCTGTGTCCAGTGTTTCTTCCACCCCCAGGGCCCTTGGCCCACGCTCATGATGGTTGGGCCTGCCTTCCAGCAGCTGCCTCAGCTCTGATTGAGGACTGTGTTTGCCTCAAGGTGAGTAGTGGTTTTTTAAGCCCTCTTCCCATACACCCCTGAGTTTGTGCTTTCCTTTCTTCCGGACCAGGTAAACTGTCTCGAGCCCCACCCTCACCTGCCTGTACTGGCAACCAGTGGCCTCGACCATGATGTCAAGATCTGGGCACCCACAGCTGAAACTTCCACCGAGCTGACAGGGCTGAAGGACGTGAGTAGCTGACTGCAGATGTCCACGTTACATTTTGAGGCTTTGTTGTCATGGGAAGGAAGAGCCGCCTGCCCAGTTCTTTAAAGGCACTGCTCTAACACCGCCCCCGCCTCCCCCCCGCTGCCATTGCTGTGACTGCTGCTCGGGGAGTAGTCCCAACGCAGGGGTTCAGGGGCAGCTGCGGAGTGCCTCTAGTTCACGGTGGAGTGGGGGTGCGGTGTCTTGAGGAAGAATCATTCTATTTTAGAGCTTCCCAGGCTTCTCAGCGGATAAACCTGGCTCCTACTTTCCTGATGTAATCTAGCTCCCCTTCAGGTTAACAGTTCCTAAAAGAAGTTTTCACTGGGATAGAAAGCCAGTCTTTTCTGATCAGGTCCAGGGTTCCTGTTCATTACCCACCCCCAACCCCCAACCCTACAACCCTGTTTGGTTCCAGGTGATAAAGAAGAACAAACGGGAGCGGGATGAAGATAGCTTGCACCACACCGACCTGTTCGATAGTCACATGCTCTGGTTCCTCATGCATCACCTGAGACAGAGACGCCACCACCGGGTAAGCTGACGTAGGAGGTGAGCTCCCAAGGGCAGTGACGCTCTCGAGGGTGAAACATTCCAGTGCACGCTTCCTCGCTACTTTAAAAAGAGATCAGGTGGTTTTGGTGGGGTGTCCGATCCATTCTCTTCCATCCCCATCAGAGCCCTGATGTAGCCTTAGAAGAACCATCGGGCAAAATGGGCGGTGTCTGCTTTCTGTTCCCCATCGCCACGCACAAGAGTGCTGTCTTCATAAGTGAAGGCAGAGCATGAGGGTGGGGAAGGAGTTGAGAATAGGGTGACCTGTCTATGGCCCTAGCAGCGTGATGGCAGCGCATCTCGTCTGGTCTCGGAAGCTAAGCAGGGTCGGGCCCGGTCAGGACTTGGATGAGAATAGGGTGACCTTTTTTTCCTTGTGCCAGAAGAGGCCTAGGGCAGGGGTTAGCAAACTCTGGCAGTTGGCATGCTGCCTGCTTTTTGCAAATAAAGTTTTATTGGAATACAACCATACCCATTCATTTATGTTGTCTGTAGCTGCTTTCATTCTGCAGCAGCAGAGTTGAATAGTCGCAACAGGGTTATGGCCCATGACTCTAAAATAGTTATTATCTGGCCCTTTAAGAAAAATTCTGCTGCCCCTGGCCTAGAGCATCTGAATTAGAGTTAAGACCTAACAGGCTTGTCCTCGTTCCAGGGAAATTACTAACAAACCTTTCCCATTCTACAGCGCTGGCGAGAACCTGGGGTTGGGGCCACAGACGCAGACTCCGATGAGTCTCCCAGCTCCTCAGACACATCGGACGAGGAGGAGGGCCCCGACCGGGTGCAGTGCATGCCGTCCTGAGGCCTCGTACCCAGGAGGGGCGGGCTGGGGCTGCCAACCCGATCCTGCCTGGACAGCCCTTTCCTGTCCCAGGCCCTTACATTCAGCAGACACGCACTTTGGACTTTTTGCTTTAGATAAAAAAGAAAGACATCCCAGGAGACAGACCAGAGGGGGAGTGAACCTGCGGAGTAGCTAAGAATGGGAGCCAAGCCCCGGGATGAGCTCCATGGAGAGGTGCACAGGGCTCAGCAGAAATGGCCTCTCCCCAAAGCCTTGTTTTTTGGGAGGGGGGAGCCTATTTGTTAACTGGTTTGGGGTAGGGAATTGGGTTTCCTTTTCTTTAATCTCCCTTGTTTCTTGGGTGGGGGGGTGGGGATAACTGGCTGTTCAGTACCAATGGGCCAGAGTAGGGGTGGTAGAAGTGCCACTCTCTCTTTGGTTTAGGTTTTTGGCCTTTTTCTTCTTTATTTTTTAAAAGTCTGTGACAGTTACATTGGTTTTTTTTTTCCCCCTGAACAACCCCAACCCAGGATCTTGTTTTTTTCTGGGAAGTCCTTAGAGCCCCTAACCATGCCACACTCTTGACTTTCTTTCCCACCCATTCATCCTTTGTACTTCCCACAGTGTTTCACACTTGATGATGTGTCCTTCACGTTCTTCTCTTAATCCCATCACCCCTAACTAGGTCTGGTGAGGGAGGCTGGGGGGGTGGGAGGAGGGGCAGAAGTGGAGGAAGAATAGGAAGGATGTGTTACCTCTTCTGTTACTTTTAAAAAAAGTTGTTTGGTGGCAGCAATCTCTTTGCCCTGTCACTGTTAGAGGCCTAATTTTATATCTATAAATATATTAAAAAGCAAGTCAAACTTGGATGTATCACGATAAAATTATTGTCAGTTTTAAATACCTATATATTCTCTATGACTACAATAAAGGGACTGAAAGGAGAGCGCGGAAGTAATAATGTTGTGGTCACACTGGGTTCAGCCCACCCTGTGTGTGTGGCCATTGGAGATCGGGGCAAACTCCTTCAGTTTTTGGAGGCTCAAGAACAGAAGGATCCTCAGTTCTGCCCTTCCCTGCCTCCTGCCGCAGTTTTGGGGTTGGGAAAACAGGAAGATTCCTTTCAGTTCTTTGCCTCAGATCTCCTACCTCTCCTTCTGTCTTGTGGGGGTTCCCAGGATGGCTCTCCTAACCAGAGGCTGGCCCATCTTTAAAACTTGACTGAACTCGGACTTCAGGAAGGGTTCTGCCACTGCAGACTCTCTCTCCTCATACTGTTTGTGACAGGGGACACGTTCACTCTTAGCATTAGCTGCTTGATTCTTTAAGCCACCCACCTCACCCCAGCCGCTCCATTCTTAGTCCAAGAGTGTAGTAGAGAAAGCCCTCCTGGCTTGGCCATTACAGCTTGTCCGCCTCTTGATACCTTGCGATTGAGGGACACATCGTTTAAGGATAAAGATGGCTGGGGCTTGGACACCCGTCTACCATCACTGGTCACGGATATGAAAGGCCTAGTTGAATTCTTGCCCTATTGCTTGTGCTGCTATTTCTTTGCGCCCCCAACCAGGAATTCTGCACCCTGGGGCAGTCTGATTCTACTAGAACAGGCCAGGAAGGAAGGGAACAGAGAAAGGATGGAATTCCCAGACACTCCTTCCTGCTGGCCTTTTTCTTAGCAACTGTCAGACCAGATGTGAGCTGCTGCACGTCCCCCCTGAGGTAGGGGACGTGTGGTGACTGAGTGGTCTGCGTTCCCACGGCTGGTGGGGTGACAGAGTGGCCTGAAACCCGTGCACTCTGGAATTTGTTGTGTATTTTCTCTCAGTAAAGCTTTTTTTTTTTTTTTTTTTTTCTTTCTGACTGCTGTTGTGTGTGTGATGTGTGGCCCGTTTGTTCCTCATGGGCCAGTTCTGTTCGTGCCAGCGTAGGTGCCTGGCCCTGTCCTTAACTGCAGTTTGGGCAGTCTGGTCTGGGATAGCTGTGTGTGCAGGCGCAGGCTCCAGCTGGAGACTCATGTGCGTAGGGTCAGCCCCATAGCTCAGGGCCACTTAGGGGACCGGGGAGGGAAGGGCACCACGAGGGCTAAACGTTTCCCTGGCCTCTGTTCCAGGCTGCAGTGAGGGATGTGGGGGTATTCACCCTCCCTTCCCAGTCAAAGGCTCCCAAATCCTTCACAGAAATTCTAGAATCAGATTCATTACAGTCAGTCACCTTTATTCCAGGGTTAGAACAAGGCCGTGCACACTGCAGACAGAGGAGCATTAGGATAGGGACAATCTCACAGCCGTACGGGGGTGGGAGGGCAGGTTAGTCTTTTTAGATGATTTTGGCCTTACAGAGATACTACTAGACTCTGCTGAAAATGACCCTGTCTCCCTCCTCCCAACTCACCCTCTCTCTTCAGAGAAGGCTCCTATTCCTTCCCTCTCTCTCTCACACACACTCTCACATCACATAAATCCTGACTGGAAGGACAGTTCATGCTCAGTTCCCCCCCCTCCCAATTCGACAAGTATCTCTCTGTCCTTGAGGGAGAAGCCAGACAGGGCTGGGTGAACGGGGGGAGGTCCTTTAAGGCAGAACTGTGGAGTACTCCAGGTGGACGTGTTAAGGCAGGTGTCCGCAGCAGTGGCCAGAGGGGACGGCGGGGCCGGGCCGGGCCGGGCGGGGAGGACAAGCTGCTCTCTGGCCAGTCTGGCTTCTTCCCTCTTCCAACAGCCAGTCCTCTCCTCCCACTTACGTTTTGCTCCCACATCTTACAAGCTCTGAACTTCAACTTTCTCTAGTTTCTTGAGATGGCGTGTGAATTTAAAGTTTAATTTTCATTTTGACTGTGTAGCAACTTGACTGGCACTCCCTTGGCCGTGGCGTTCCCCTCCCACCCCCGCCCTGGCCTAGACAATAAGTTAATGCTAGACACCACAGGAAAGGGCAGACATGGCAGTGCGGGTTTAATATACATATATGTAGATCTATATGTACACACAGTTAGCACGGTCAGGGTGGGGAGAGCATCTGGGCACAGGAAGGAGGCTGGGGTCTAGTGATGTGGCTAGGAGGCATTCACGAGCCCAACACGCCAGGATATCAAGGGAGACGGGCTAGCAAAGTCCCCTCCTGGACTGAACTGGGTGGGGGGGGGGGCGGTCAGTGCAAAGGAAAAGGCTCTAATTAGCTTCTTCCTCTCTTTCCTGCTCGGGGTGCTCTAGACCCCAGAGAGGGAAGGTCACCTGTAGTAACCACGCTGGGACCCTGTGGGTGGGGCAGGGTTGGAGCTAAGACCTAAGGAGCTCACTCCTCAGCCTCCCTAGGTTTGGAGTCCGTGTGTGCAACAATCTGAATAGGAATAAAGGGAGTGGCAAAGAGGACACCACTCTGTCTACATCCCCATGTCTGGTGCAGTGGGGCCTGCTCCCAGCATGGGCTCTTAGGGGTGAGGGGACTCTAGTATCTAGCTGGGTGCTCATGAAGTTTGTACTTTGGGACCAGGGAAGGATCCTGTGGTCCTCTCTCATTAGATCCTTGGCTCATACCCATCCTAGGCCCATGGGAGGGGAGCAAAAAGGGACCTGCTGGGGCCCAGGCCCTCCAACCCGAGGAACATCTAGAAAGGATCCCTCCGCCGATCCAGCACGGGGTACAGACGTGGAACTCTGGCTTTTCTTTGCCCCTTCCAGGTGGGGGTTGGGTGACCACCTTCCCTCCCACTGCTTTTCACTAGATGCACCCACCTCGCCCCATGCTTTCCCTCTAGCTTGGCTCCTCAGTGTAGGAAAATACAGGTCCTTTCTGCTCCCACACTTTAGCCATAGAGGAAAGGGCAGTAGGAGGAATGTGCCCATTTCTATTTGCATAGAAATAGCCCCCACCTCCCCCTAAAGTGGGGAAACGAAGCCCCCCCCCCAGCCTGACCCCCATCCCCTCACAAGGAGGAGGAACTAGATGAGCTAGACATATAGACAGACAGCCAGAGCGTGCGCACACGCACACACACGCGCACAGTAAGGGGGTTAGGACCAGGTTAGTAAGTGGGTAGACTGGGGGGGTTGCCCTTGCCCCTCCCCTGGAGGCTGGGGGAAGGGAGTGGTCCACTGAAGGTCCAACCTTCCTCCTCTCCTCCCCCTCGCTCAGGCTTTCTTCGGTGGCGGAGCCAATTTGATGATCTCTTCCTCAGAGGGCTGCCGGATAATGTCTGGGGGGCAAAAAGGGAGGTGTCCAGGGACGGAAGGCATGGGAGACAGGCCCACCACGTCCGCTTCCATTTGCCCCAAACCCACGCACTCCAAGGATCACCCACGGGAGGGGGCAGAGGTGCGTGTTAGAGACACGGGCTCCTACCTTTGTACTTCTTGGCACTGGGGATACGGGTTAGCTTGGTGTCTAGCTCATCCTCCTCCGAGATCTTCAGAACACGGGTTCTGTAGTCCACCACCATGGTGAGTAGGTCAGGGCGGCGGGAGATCTCAAAGATGTGCTCAATGTAGGAGAGGTTGTCTGGAGGAAGGCAGGAAACAGGGTCAGCCAGGCTGTAGAGGCCGGCTTCCCCTGCCCTACCAGACTGGGCTTCTGGAACCTGGTTATCGGACGGGGCAGCACAGGAAGAGAAGGAGGTCCTGAGCAGGACCAGAAAGCTAAGACACCAACAATACAGAGGGCTGTTCCCAGGAAGAGCAGGTGGTTGGTCAGTGAAGTTCCCAACTTCGGGAGTGAGGAGGAGGGATTCAGGCTAAATAGAAGGTCCCATGTTGTGGGCAGGGGAGAACAGGAAAATGAATTGGCCTTCCTGATACCCTACACCCACCCTGTGCCCCTTCCACTCTTTCTCCAAGTCAGCGTCAGAATTTCCTGCTAGCACGTGCGGGACTGGAGGGGTGCAGTCTCTAGACAAGGCACGCGTGTGGCCAGAAGGACGCGCTCCGCAGCTGGGCCAGTTCTAGGAGACCGTGGACGCCCTCAGTCCTTCCTCCGCGGCTCCTCCCCTCGGACTACTGCAGGTGCCTCCTAATGGGACCGTGTCCACCTCAGCCTCCCTCCCTGCTCACCCCCCAGGGCCCTCTGGCGGCTCACCCCGCCTGCTCACTCCGGCCCTCAAGACCCTCCATGGCACAGCCTTAACGTACCTTTCCAGCCACTTCTAAACTTACTCGGCCCCCAGGCAAGCTAAGCGGGCTCCCCTGCTCTGCCGGACACACCGGACGCTCCTGCCTGTGTGACTCTGGTCCTTCGCCAAGCGTGCCCTCCTTTGGACCCTGCCTTTGAAATCCACTTGCCTTTCAGGGCCATCTTAATAGACCAACTCCCCGCCCCAAGCCTGTCCCAGCGCAGCGTTCTCTGGCCGTGGATGGGAGAATGTTAGAACGTGTGGTTTTACTTCGATCACTTTTAACTCGTATTCTAGTGTCCTGTGACAGACCGATGCTCTCGCGTCTCACAGTAACACAGTGGTGCCGTGTTGGCTGTGAGGACCGCTGCTCTCAGCATGCTTCCCTTTGCTGAACGGACTGGGCCCGAGAGGCTGGGGACCCGCCCGCCCCCCACCTTTGTCCAGCTTGTTGTGGCTCTCCAGGAAGCTGAACCAGGCACTGCCAGTAGTGATCTCCTCGCTCTTCTCACTGGGGATGTCCTCCTTGCAGGCCGACTTGAGCTGCTCCAGATCCTCAAGGGTGATGTTGTTGGTCAGGTCCTGGAGGAGGGTCCCGTACTCGGCCATGACTGGGGTTGGGAGGAACAAAGGGAGAGGCTGCTGAGCTGGAGGTGCCGGTGGGGTTTACTCTCTGGCACCTCCCACCAGCACCTCCACTCTGCCGGGCGGGAGTGGGGGGGGCGGTGAGGCAGGG